AAACAGCGGAACCTCAACAACATTCCATTATTTGCCCCCCCCACCCAAATCTTAATAATGAGCAATAGCCGTGCTTGCAAACGAGCGCCGTTTATGAATGAATGGCTCATAATTTATCCAGCCAATTGCTTCGGTGCATCTTGAAACGAAAGAATGCCCCCGGCATCTTTACTCCTTGCGCCACGTAACGAACAGATCCGTGGCGCAAGGAATTAAAGCATCGATGAGCGTATGAAGCGTCCGCAGGACTGCTGCGATTCATTAGTTGCCTCGGCAGCAGCAGTAGCAGCGGCTCTGTGGGTCCGCAGTGGCGAACCCGCCACGAGCCCCTTGCGGAGGAGGAGGCGGAGGAGGAGGAGGACTGCCCAGAGCCGCTGGACCGCGTGCCGGCGTCGGGAGCCGCACGGCGCCCGTGCCGGGCCTGGCCCTGGTGGCTCGCGACGCCGGCTCGCCCGCTCGATGACTCCGGGGTCTCGGGCCGGCTCGACTTGGGGGAGAGGGCACAGGGTGGAACTGCGGTGTAGGGCCGGATACGTGGAGGCCCTTCATCCAGCAGTGGCATGAGCAAGCGTTTGCAGGGCTGTACCTCGAGCTCCCAGAATGCAACTCGTGTTTTGTCATGACCAAGGATTCTCCGCAGCAGTGTTCTGAACAGTTTTGCACCGACAGAGAGAGAGAACCCCTTGAGAGGCAGCGCGCTCACCTATAACGTCCGGTGTACCACTCCCCACAGACGCATACAGACACACATACACCAGTACCACTCCCCACAACACACAGACACACACACACACCAGTACCACTCCCCACAGAGACACACATACACCAGTACCACTCGCCACAACACAGACACAGACACACAGACACCAGTACCACTCCCCACAGAGACACACACCAGTACCACTCGCCACAACACAGACACATAGACACACAGACACCAGTACCACTCCCCACAACACACAGAGACACACAGACACACACACACCAGTACCACTCCCCACAACACACAGACACATAGACACAGACACACCAGTACCACTCGCCACAACACAGACACATAGACACACAGACACCAGTACCACTCGCCACAACACACAGAGACACACAGACACACACACACCAGTACCACTCCCCACAACACACAGACACACACACACACCAGTACCACTCCCCACAACACACAGACACATAGACACACACACACAACAGTACCACTCCCCACAACACAGACACACACACACCAGTACCACTACCCACAACACAGACACACACAGACACCAGTACCACTCCCCACAACACAGACACACACACGCGGGTACCACTCCCCACAACACACAGAGACACACAGACACACTCACACGCGGGTACCACTCCCCACAACACACAGAGACACACACACACCAGTACCACTCCCACAACACACAGAGACACACAGACACACGAGTACCACTCCCCACAACACACAGAGACACACAGAGACACACACACACCAGTACCACTCCCCACAACACACAGACACACACACACCAGTACCACTCCCCACAACACACAGACACATAGACACACACACACAACAGTACCACTCCCCACAACACAGACACACACACACCAGTACCACTACCCACAACACAGACACACACAGACACACCAGTACCACTCCCCACAACACACAGACACACAGAGACACACACACACACCAGTACCACTCCCCACAACACAGACACACACACACGCGGGTACCACTCCCCACAACACAGACACACACACACCAGTACCACTCCCCACAACACACAGACACACACAGACACACACACACACCAGTACCACTCCCCACAACACACAGAGACACATAGACACACACACCAGTACCACTCCCCACAACACAGACAAACACAGACACACACACACGCGGGTACCACTCCCCACAACACAGACACACACACACACCAGTACCACTCCCCACAACACACAGACACACACAGACACACACACACACACCAGTACCACTCCCCACAACACACAGAGACACACAGACACACACACACACACCAGTACCACTCCCCACAACACACAGACACACACAGACACACACACACCAGTACCACTCCCCACAACACAGACACACACACACGCGGGTACCACTCCCCACAACACACAGAGACACACACCAGTACCACTCCCCACAACACACAGACACAGACACACACACCAGTACCACTCCCCACAACACACAGACACACACAGACACACACACACACCAGTACCACTCCCCACAACACAGACACACACACACGCGGGTACCACTCCCCACAACACACAGAGACACACAGACACACTCACACGCGGGTACCACTCCCCACAACACACAGAGACACACACACACCAGTACCACTCCCACAACACACAGAGACACACAGACACACGAGTACCACTCCCCACAACACACAGAGACACACAGAGACACACACACACCAGTACCACTCCCACAACACACAGAGACACACAGACACACACACACGGGTACCGTGTGTCCGGGACGGGTTGTTATGCACGGAATGTGAGTTCCCTTCCTGAACATGCAACTTGATGAATGTGATTGTGTGTTGATGTGTGTGTGTTTGTGTGTTAATGTGTTTGTGTGTTAATGGTGTGTGTGTGTTTGTGTGTTGATGGTGTGTGTTAATGTGTGTGTTTGTGTGTTGATGGTGTGTGTTAATGTGTGTGTTTATGTGTTGATGTGTGTGTTTATGTATTGATGTGTGTGTTTATGTGTTGATGTGTGTGTGGTTGTGTGTTAATGTGTGTGTGTGTTTGTGTGTTGATGGTATGTGTGTGGTTGTGTGTTGATGGTGTGTGTGGTTGTGTGTTAATGTGTTTGTGTGTGTCTTTGTGTGTTAATGTGTGTTGGTGGTGTGTGTGTGTGTTGATGTGTGTGTTTGTGTGTTGATGTGTGTGTTGATGGTGTGATGAATGTGTTTGTGTGTTAATGTGTGTGTTTCTGTGTTGATGGTGTGGTTATGTGTTAATGTGTGTTTGTGTGTTGATGGTGTGATGAATGTGTGTTCATGTGTGTGTCTGTTGATGATGTGTGTGTGTTTGTATGGTGATGGTGTGTGTGGTTTTTGTGTTAATGTGTGTTGATGTGTGTGTGTTTGTGTGTGTGTGTTGATGTGTGTGTTGATGGTGTGTGCGTGTTTGTGTGTTGATGTGCGTGCGTGTTTGCGTGTTGATGGCGTGGGGGGGAGCGGTGGCGCAGTGGTTAGCGCGCCACGCTCCGAACTCGGCGAGAATTCGGTTCCCGCTCAGCGGCCACCGCCAAATCCCAGTGACGTATTTACCTGGTCCGGTCCTGGGCCCCCCTACCCCTAGGTAGACTCAGCCTCAAATTGGCACCTCGTTGCAGTTGTGGACGCCACCGCAGGAGCGGTGAGGCTGCTTGAGTAGCGTTGTGCACAACGCGGCGTGCCAACAGCGCGCCACTGTACTCCGCGCATTCTGAAAGCCTCGGGGAAATTTGAGACTCCGGGATAACACTGACAGCACGCGGAGCTGAGAAAGTGCAGTTTGGCTCGGTGGCCTTCCACGTTGCTCTGCAATCGTTCAGAAGTTAAACGCAACAATACACTAAACATGACACTTTTATTATTTTATTTTTACCACGCTTGGGCCCCTACTGAACTGTGTAACTCTTTTTTCTTTTTAGAAGCCACCCGACTGTCAACGATGATCTCTCAACGAAGTGACCTCATCACCACCACGTGGGAATGTACAGCAGCAGCTGGATGACTCAAATCGCGCGATGTTGATTCGGAGTGCGGAGGGGAAACGCCGCAGGAGCCGGAGAAAAATAATCGACGCGACCACGGGGAGAGAGAGAGACGCAGACTCCAAATATACAGCAGCAGCAGCAGGGTCGGGATCGAACCCACGACCTCCTGCAGACCAGGCGAGGTAGTCAACATCTCATAGTCACCGTGGCGCCCCTTGCGGTGGAGGCAGCAGCGAGGGTTGGTGGATTAAGCACGGATGGGGTGTGAATATCTGTGTCTCACATGGGATGCTCGCTACAGCACTTGCCCCAACAGTCTGTTAAGGCTACACGGGGGATCTTTGTCTGTGTGCATGTCTCACAGGTGATGCTCGCTTACAGCACTTGCCCCAACAGGCTGTTGAGGCTACACGGGGGATCTTTGTCTGTGTGTGTGTCTCACAGGTGATGCTCGCTTACAGCACTTGCCCCAACAGTCTGCTGAGGCTACACGGGGGATCTTTGTCTGTGTGCGTGTCTCATAGGTGATGCTCGCTTACAGCACTTGCCCCAACAGTCTGCTGAGGCTACACGGGGGATCTTTGTCTGTGTGCGTGTCTCATAGGTGATGCTCGCTTACAGCACTTGCCCCAACAGTATGTTGAGGCTACACGGGGGATCTTTGTGTGTGTGTCTCATAGGTGATGCTCGCTTACAGCACTTGCCCCAACAGTCTGCTGAGGCTACACGGGGGACCTTTGTCTGTGTGCGTGTCTCACAGGTGATGCTCGCTTACAGCACTTGCCCCAACAGTCTGTTGAGACTACACGGGGGATCTTTGTCTGTGTGCGTGTCTCACAGGTGATGCTCGCTTACAGCACTTGCCCCTACAGCCTGTTGAGGCTACACGGGGGATCTTTGTCTGTGTGCGTGTCTCATAGGTGATGCTCGCTTACAGCAATTGCCCCAACAGTCTGCTGAGGCTACACGGGGGATCTTTGTGTGCGTGTCTCACAGGTGATGCTCGCTTACAGCACTTGCCCCAACAGTCTGTTGAGACTACACGGGGGATCTTTGTCTGTGTGCTGGCTGTTCGAGATGATGGGGCGAGGAAGGGGAGGGGCAGCAGGACGCGCGGTGACCCGGGGATGATGACGTGAAGTCACTCCCCCCCTCCCCTCCTCCCCCCCTCCTCCTCCCCTCTCCCTCCTCCCCCTCCCCTCCCCCTCCTCCTCCTGCTGCTGCCTCTGCGCTCAGCTACAGTGGGAGGAGGAGGAGGATCAGAATCAGAAGGAGCCAGGGAGGAGAAGGAGCCAGGAGGAGCCAGGAGGAGGTTGTGGTCTCGCGCAGCGGCGGCCCACGTGGAGGTGACACGTGTGGTGTGTGTGTGTGTGTGGTGTGTGTGTGTGGTGTGTGTGTGTGTGTGTGGTGTGTGTGTGACGTGTGTGTGGTGTGTGTGTGTGGTGTGTGTGTCTGGTGTGTGTGTGTGGTGTGTGTGATGTGTGTGTGTGTGTGGTGTGTGTGGTGTGTGTGTGTGGTGTGTGTGTGTGGTGTGTGTGTGTGGTGTGTGTGGTGTGTGTGTGGTGTGTGATGTGTGTGGTGTGTGTGGTGTGTGTGGTGTGTGTGTGACGTGTGTGTGGTGTGTGATGTGTGTGTGGTGTGTGTGTGTGGTGTGTGTGTGTGTGTGGTGTGTGTGTGACGTGTGTGTGGTGTGTGATGTGTGTGTGGTGTGTGTGATGTGTGTGTGGTGTGTGTGTGATGTGTGTGTGTGGTGTGTGTGTGGTGTGTGTGTGGTGTGTGTGTGATGTGTGTGTGGTGTGTGTGTGGTGTGTGTGTGTGGTGTGTGTGTGTGGTGTGTGTGGTGTGTGTGTGTGGTGTGTGTGTGTGTGTGGTGTGTGTGGTCAGTGTGTGTGATGTGTGTGTGTGGTGTGTGTGGTGTGTGTGTGTGGTGTGTGTGTATGTGGTGTGTGTGTGGTGTGTGTGTGATGTGTGTGTGTGTGGTGTGTGTGTGTGTGGTGTGTGGTGTGTGTGGTGTGTGTGTGTGGTGTGTGTGTGATGTGTGTGGTGTGTGTGTGGTGTGTGTGTGGTCAGTGTGTGTGTGTGTGGTGTGTGTGTGATGTGTGTGGTGTGTGTGTGGTGTGTGTGTGTGGTGTGTGTGTGGTGTGTGTGGTGTGTGACGTGTGTGTGTGGTGTGTGTGTGTGGTGTGTGTGTGGTGTGTGTGATGTGTGTGTGGTCAGTGTGTGTGTGTGGTGTGTGGTGTGTGTGTGGTGTGTGTGTGTGTGGTGTGTGGTGTGTGTGTGTGGTGTGTGATGTGTGTGTGTGGTGTGTGTGTGTGGTGTGAGTGGTGTGTGTGTGATGTGTGTGATGTGTGTGTGGTGTGTGTGTGTGATGTGTGTGTGATGTGTGTGTGGTGTGTGTGTGGTGTGTGTGTGATGTGTGTGTGGTGTGTGTGATGTGTGTGTGGTGTGTGTGTGTGATGTGTGTGTGGTGTGTGTGTGGTGTGTGTGATGTGTGTGTGATGTGTGTGTGTGGTGTGTCTGTGGGGTGTGTGTGATGTGTGTGTGATGTGTCTGTGTGATGTGTGTGTGGTGTGTGTGTGATGTGTGTGTGTGTGTGGTGTGTGTGTGACGTGTGTGTGGTGTGTGATGTGTGTGTGGTGTGTGTGATGTGTGTGGTGTGTGTGTGTGTGATGTGTGTGTGTGGTGTGTGTGTGGTGTGTGTGTGGTGTGTGTGTGATGTGTGTGTGGTGTGTGTGTGATGTGTGTGTGATGTGTGTGTGGTGTGTGTGTGGTGTGTGTGTGTGGTGTGTGTGTGATGTGTGTGTGTGATGTGTGTGTGTGATGTGTGTGTGGTGTGTGATGTGTGTGTGTGATGTGTGTGTGGTGCGTGTGTGATGTGTGTGTGTGTGGTGTGTGTGATGTGTGTGTGGTGTGTGATGTGTGTGTGTTGTGTGTAATGTGTGTGTGTGATGTGTGTGTGATGTTTGTGTGTGTGTGATGTTTGTGTGTGTGTGGTGTGTGATGTGTGGTGTGTGATGTGTGGTGTGTGGTGTGCCTGTGTGTGATGTGTGTGTGTGTGATGTGTATGTGATGTGTGTGTGTGATATGTGTGTGATGTGTGTGTGGTGTGTGTGTGATGTGTGTGTGTGATGTGTGTGATGTGTGTGTGGTGTGTGTGATGTGTGTGGTGTGTGTGATGTGTGTGTGGTGTGTGTGTGTGGTGTGTGTGTGTGATGTGTGTGTGTGTGATATGTAGTTGTGTTTTTATTGTGTGTGGAGTTCTGTGTGTGGTTGCGTAGTGTGTGGTGTTGTCAGTGTGTGTGTGTGGTTCTGGGTGTGTGTGTGTGTGTGGTTGTTATTGTTAGTGTGTGATGTGTGGTTGTGTAGTGTGTGGTGACTGTCAGTGTGGGTGTGTGGTTCTGGGTGTGGGGAGCGGTAGTGTAGCGGTTAGCGCTACGCTGCGCTATGAACCTGGCGACCCGGGTTCGATTCCCGCTCACGGCCAACACCAGTGACGATTATCTGAACCGGTCCCGGGCCTCCCCTAGGTCGACTCAGCCTCAAATGAGTACCTGGTGCGTTGTGTAAACATTGCCACTAGGGAGACAAAGGCGGTCGGGCGTGGTGCTGGCCACCCAACCCCTCGTGTACCGTTCCGGCCTTCATAGGTGCTCGTTAACAGCACTTGCCCCTACAGTTTGTTAAGGCTATATGGGGGGGTCTTTGTCTTTTTTGTGGTTCTGGGTGAATCAGTCAAGCGGCAATATCTTTTAATCGGTTGCGTAAGGCTGTGTAGAAGCTACCTGGTCTGTCACTCCGCACTAAGCTTCAGGTCTTCTCGGCCACGGTCATTCCCTCCCTTCTCTACGCTTGCGAAACGTGGACCCCCCCTAATGGAACATCTTCGCCAGTTAGGAACATTTAGGCTGGCCTGCCTACGATCCATTCTGGGTTTAACCAGACTGGATTGTGTGAGGAGCTCACAAATCCTTGAAAAGATCTGGGCAAGGTCCCATCGGTGAGCTCCTCCGGCAGGCAAGGCTGCGTTGGCTGGGTCATGTAGCCCACATGCCCAGCCACCGCATGCCGAAACAGCTTTTGTTCGGCCGGATCGAGGGGGCTAAACGGGCGCGGAACGGGCTAGAGAAGAGATGGAGTGATGTGGTACAGGAGGACGTGGAGCTGAGTGGACTTGCCGATAAACTGGTACCAGCGGTGTCAAGATCGGCCTCTGTGGAGGAGGCTCGTGAAGGACGCTACTGGGCAGTTGGAGGCAGTCGCCCTCCAACAACAACGGAGGGTGGAGGAGCGATGCTCACAACAACGAGCGGAGCGCTGGGTAGCTAAAGCACAGCAGGTTGGCACAGTAGGGGGCACAGGTGGTGCATCAGCCAGTCATCTCAGTCAGTCGACCCGTGGCACCTGGGTCTGCCCCGTGACCTTCTGCCCGCGGGCGTTCGACACTTCACGTGGCCTCAAGGTGCACATGGCCTGGCACAAGCGTCGTGGTGACGTCACCGCCACTTGTGGCGAATGGTGGTTGTTGTATTGTTAGTGTGTGTGTGTGGTTGTGTTGTGAGTGTGTGGTTGTGTTGTGAGTGTGTGGTTGTATTGTGAGTGTGTGGTTGTGTTGTGAGTGTGTGGTTGTGTTGTGTGTGTGTGGTTGTGTTGTGAGTGTGAGTGTGTGGTTGTGTTGTGTGTGTGGTTGTGTTGTGTGTGTGTGTGGTTGTATTGTGTGTGTGTGGTTGTATTGTGAGTGTGTGGTTGTGTTGTGTTTGTGTGTGGTTGTATTGTGTGTGTGTGGTTGTATTGTGAGTGTGTGTGTGGGTGTATTGTGAGTGTGTGGTTGTGTGTGTGTGGTTGTATTGTGAGTGTGTGGTTGTGTTGTGAGTGTGTGTGTGTGGTTGTGTTGTGAGTGTGTGTGTGGTTGTGTGTGTGTGGTTGTGTTGTGAGTGTGTGTGTGTGGTTGTGTTGTGAGTGTGTGTGTGGTTGTATTGTAAGTGTGTGTGTGTGGTTGTATTGTGTGTGTGTTATTGTGCCATGCGTGGGGAGCGGTAGTGTAGTGGTTAGCGCTACGCTGCGCTACGAACCTGGCGACCCGAGTTCGATTCCCGCTCACGGCCAACACCAGTGACGATTATTTGAACCGGTCCTGGGCCTTCCCTAGGTCGACTCAGCCGCAAATGAGTACCCAGTGCGGGGGTGTGTAAACATCACCACTGGGGAGACAAAGGCGGCCGGACGTGGTCCTGGCCACCCACCCCCTCGTGTGCCGTGCCGGCCTTCACAGGTGCTACTCGCTAACAGCACTTGCCCCTACAGTCTGTTAAGGCTACACGGGGCAGCTTTGTCTTTGTTTGTGTGCCGTGCCTGCCTTAAAAGGTGCTGCTCCCTAACAGCACTTGCTCATGCCGCCTGTTGAGGCTACACGGGGGACCTTTGTCTTTGTGCCGGCCTTCATGGGTTCCGATACTCACAGCACTTGCCCCCAACGTGTGGCGCAACATTCACCCAACGTTCATCCAACGTTGGCCCAACATTCACCCAACGTTCACCCAACGTTGGCCCAACGTTCACCCAGCGTTCATCCAACGTTGGCCCCACGTTGGCACAACGTTGGCACAACGTTGACCGAAACTTGACCCACTTTGGCTCAACGTTCAGTCAACGCTGACCCAATTTTCACCCAACGGTCACCCAACGTCCATCCAATTTTGGCCCGACGTTCACCCAACGTTGGCTCAACGTTGGCCCGACGTTCACCCAACGTTGGCTCAACGGGAGTGTCCACGTCCCGCACGCGAGCGGCGTGCGGCGACCCCGTGTGGGGTCTTGGGGGGCGCGAGACTCAACGCGACGTTCGTGTTTGTTTGTTTGTTAAGACGACGACAACAACAAACTAAAGTTGAGCGAGCGTCACTCAAGTCGGGAGGGCACACGGCGAGAACGTTCAGATTCGTCGCTGGATGGAACGGCGGTGGTAGTGGTGGTGGTAGTGGTGGTGATGGTGGTAGTAGTGGTGTTAGTGGTGGTGGTGGTGTTAGTGATGGTGGTAGTGGTGTTAGTGGTGGTGGTAGTGGTGGTAGTGGTGGTGGTAGTGGTGGTAGTGGTGTTAGTGGTGTTAGTGGTGGTGGTAGTGGTGTTAGTGGTGGTGGTAGTGGTGGTGGTAGTGGTGTTAGTGGTGGTGGTAGTGGTGTTAGTGGTGGTAGTGGTGGTGGTAGTGGTGGTAGTGGTAGTAGTGGTGTTAGTGGTGGCGGTGGTGGTGGTGGTAGTGGTGGTGGTAGTGGTGGTGGTGGTACTGGTGGTGGTGGTAGTGGTGGTCGTGGTGGTAGTGGTGGTAGTGGTGGTGGTAGTGGTGGTGGTAGTGGTGGTAGTGGTG